GTCTATGAGTAATATCTTTTTGGGCAAACCAGCACAGTGTAATTCTCATTTTTATAACGTGTTTTGTTAAAAGATTAATGAAAATACTAGAAATAGATTTTCTGGTAATGAAACTGGTGTACGTAAATTGGTATTTCATGACCGAAACGTTTTCGGCAGTGAGAAACGCGCGTCTGGCACTGTTAGTAACGTTAACATCAGGTAACATAAACAACGATTACAATATGGTCTTTTGAGAAACATGCCGAAATTTGACAAATAAGTTTATCTGTCAACGAGGTGGATGTAGCGAAAACAATAACATACAAAGTTTAGAAGTGTTGATTCCATAGGTCAGCACCGCACATGACAGCATTAGTTTTTCCGAGACGACCTTAAGGTCATTCTTGTCACCTCGCTTGATTCATTCTCGGAAACATTGGACGATGACAATGATGTTTCTTTGCTGTCATGCACGTCCGCGTGGATTTCGTCGAATTCCAGAAGGGCATGGGCCGTAGACATTTCAATTGGTAAATCCTTACAAAGTTCACTTCCACACTCGGGGCAAGGGACACCACAATTGAAGCACACTGGCATGTCGTCAAACCAAGGCATGGTACAGGGCTCGTTAACGGAGAAGGCAGAGTCCTCTTTTGGGTACGCTGGGCTTTTTCTTCGCCATTGATCTTGGCACCACTCAATCATTCTTTTAGTTGCTCTCTCTCCAGGTTTCCAACCCTCTGTTGCCGTCGTTACTTCTTCTTCCTCCATCCTGGCTTTCAGATGGTCAAACGGTCTTGCGTCCAACAGCTTGCAAACAAAATTTGCCACAACCTCGTGCATTTTCCATGTGAATTTCAGGCCTGACGTGTTCCTCCTCTGTTTCTTAACAAATCCTAACATTAAAATAAACTGCCAGACAGCTATATCATAGAGTGGTCTTAGAAAGGACAAACGGTTTGAAGACGGCATGTTAACAGTTGCCAAATATGCAAGTATGTGAAGTATGGGTGATAGATTAATGAACTAACGCTTACTCGTTCCTAGGGCCCTCTCTGTCATTTTGAATGCCGCGAAGGCCCTGGGGACAGGTTTTTGTCGACCCTTCTGGTCGTGGAAAATGGCGTCCTCCTCATCGAAATCTTCTGTGGCTACGCAGACAGTGTCTTCGAAAAGTAAACTTGTACCACCGTTAGTTTCAGATCTTCTTGATTTGGCTATTTATTCGTTTGGTTGTCAGTCAGGATTAAGATCCAACCATAAAGTCCGTGGTGACCCAGTTTTGGAAGGCGTTTCGGCGTTTCTTGGACGAATGCTGTTAACCAGCAATGCTGAAACTCAGGCAGCGTTCGAAGAAATAACAGCTACAAGACTGGGTAAATAAATAGTTATGATGTTTATATAGAGACATTTCATTTTTTACAGATAGTTTGGTTGAAACTTTGAGGGCCTTGGAAGACCATTGATTGCCACGTGGGGCGAATGAACCAGGTCGTTTCGCCCGATGTCCTGTTCGCCCGGAGTTGTTTCGCTGGGGCTGAGAGTCGATTCCCCCGAGGATTGAAAATAGATCTTTTTTTACTGGTTCTCAGAATAAATAGAATCACGGCAAGTTCAAGATATTCATCTGATCGATGTAATGATGAGTATAACAGAAATAAACAGGCCAAAAAGGTGTGTGAATATTCCTCGTTCTAAAAAGGGCATCCACAAACATAAGTATAAGTGTGGACTCTCAATCTGGGCGAAACAACTTCATACTCCTGGCAAAACGACTCTCAGTCCAGGCGAAAGGACTCCGGGCGAACAGGACATTAGGCGAAACAGCCCTAATTTGCAATAGATGACAATATTCCAAGCCCCCCGGCCCCTTTCCAGGGCATTAGATGGGCATTTGACACTGTTTTTCATAAGGTTGCAAATGCCTCACTGACGGGCAGCTGGTCCATACAAAATCCCCACAGGGGAGGGGGGACGTCAGAATAGTGCAAATGCCCCAATGGTTCTTTGCTTTTAAAGCAACATTGCCATGTACTCGGGACTGCTAACATTAAAAAGCATCTTCAATTTTGTAAATAGCTCATTATATTTTGATTGTGACTGTTATTCGTGTAATCAAGGTTTTACATACACAGTATTGAAATTGATTCAAACATGTTAAGAAAGTACTGCACACCGATCTCCACAAAGACAAAGACACAATGTTATACATTCACAAAGGAAAATGTGATCGCTATTTAATTTTGTAAAAATGTCAATAACTTACCTTCTAAGGTTTCTATTTTAACCTTTAAGGCACTGTTCTATCAGCCGACAAGCCACAAATTCAAAACCCTTCCCAACATGAAGACCAACATGAATTTGTGGGGGTGCTGCAAGAGCACTAGCTAGTTCCCAGTGGGTTAATCTCAGGAAAAAGAATTTACATCTATGTTCTTTATGTAGGGCTTATCCTTTTGATGTTTAATAAAGCGGGCTTGTGTTTCAAAAAGTACCAATGTATAAGTCTTCTTGTGTAATGTTTTCGCGAGCAAATGCCCCATGGTGGGGACCAACAACCAGTCAAATGCCCGTCCAATGCCCGGGGGTGGAGGCTTGGGGATGGGCTGGCTTGGAATTAACAAAGCCATAAAACTTAAAGTGATATTGTCTCCAGATATACGGCTAAGGAAATTTTCGCTAAATTTACAAAAAACCAACAAAGTTCTAACTAAAATGATCGAAAGCAATTTATTGCACAAATTGCATCTCTCCGAGCCAAACTTAAGTATCTCGAAAAACTGTCAGGATGTCTCATTCCCGTGTAGTTGACATCCTTACTGTCTAATGCATTTCTGTTATTTGCATAGTGCTGTTGGACAAAATCAAGCCATTATTATTGGGTTTGCTATGATTTTGGAAATTTTTTGACCTTCTCTAAATCATGAAAAAATGAGGACACCGTACTGTCCCAGTATTATTCTATCGGCCAATTGATACCCAATCTTGCTGTCAAGCTGATTGTTTCCACTCATTCTAGTCTTGAGGTGAAGACGTAGATTTACTCACGCTATGCATGATTATCAAACCTAACAAAATTCTTTTTTTGAAGTGTTTTTAGCATTCTTTTGTGCCTTGGCTGAGGATATTTGCAATAGATTAACTTGGTTGTAGCAACTAATGAAAATGTTTTACTATTTTATTGATCCATGGCATGTGATTGATGAACAAAAGATTGTGCATGGTTGTAGTACTTTCAACGTAGTTATAATACGTTTTAGTTCCTTTTTATCACATTGAAGTCTGCAAGATGTCATGACAAGTTGCTCTATTAAATGGGATTGAAGCTACAGTACAATAGTCAACAACACATGAGATCAAGCTCACGCCAAGGGTACTCAACAGTTTTTTAGCACTAATGAATGCCCTGACGGCCGAGTATGACTAATTCAGCCACACTGTACCATAAGTTTTTTACAGTGCTTTGCAGAGAAAAACGTCTCGTGTGAAATCATTTCTAATCTGAATGTGTCCCTTTATGTTTGTTTTGCCGAGTTACAGTGTTGTGGCAATCTGTTGTCTACAGTGTTAATTAAGGGGCTTTTTTCCCAGTGAGAAGTGAAGTGTCCTTATACAATAGAGAGCTCTCCAGATTATTTTGGTGTCCATGAGGAGAGGTCCAATTGTATATATATATATCCAATATGGAAATTTTATAACTTTTAATTCATCGGCCTGTAGGTAATTGGAGACCAGGGGAGATACCAACAGAGGAGCTGCTAACCCTTATATCTTCCCGAAACAAGAACCAGAAACAAAAGGGAATCATCATGGAAGGCAAAATATCCATCGGTGCCATCACTACTGCTGGAGGAGAAGCAATTGTACTCTGAGGAGGATGATTGTGTGAAATACACTTATTATCCAACATGTTGGAGATGCCGTCAACGCTGCCAGTTCTGCCTAAAAAGGAAAACATTTTTTCCAAAATTTGGCAATTTCACCATGGAGTAAGTACATTTTGCTGCTTTTTACAATGTACATATATATGGTTATACAAGCACTCTCAATAAATTTTTAATTTATTAGGTGTAATTTCCCTTTAATTTTATGCTTAAATACCAGGATGACTCAGATGCAGTGTATTTCATAATCAAAGACTTTAGTTCCTGACACCCAGGTGTATATCATATTATAACCAACCAATTATTTTTGTGCGGTTTTATTGGCTACTTTACGTCACATGGTGTAAAATCACGGGACAGTAATCATGCAATAACCCCTGCCTGCATTGATATTTGTTCTCCTATGACTTCCATCGAAAAGAAACAAAGGCAGTGTGAAAGAAATTTTGAGTTTTCGTCTTTCTTATTTTACAAAGAAACTCGTTTATAAAGTCTGGAGATACTGACATTAAATATGGAAGTTGAATGATTTCTAACAAGTACAGGGTTTTCTAATCATCGCTGCAACATAGTGTATTTTCATTTTGAACTAGGATTAATGTCCAGGGTGTTCCAATGTATAAGTACAGCCATGAGTTGCGTTTCAAATTCGAGTGAATTCTACCAGTTACCTGGTCTTCAGGTTGAAGACCTGAATTTTTGGTCAAATCTTTGTTTTGCTGTTTGAACTGTTTGCCTCTTTCACGTAGGCGGAAAGAGATACTTTGTCAGTATTCTTTTGTCAGTATGCCAATCAATCACCAATAATGTG